TCTATATAATTTTTCAATATTGCATTAGCGTCTAAACCTTGAAGGTCTGCTTTATCATAAAGATCCAACTCTTGCCACAATGTTTTTAGAGCAAGGAAGTATTCAGTAACAGTCATCCCTCCTTGGCGTAAATCTTTCACCTTGGTGTTGAGTTCAAAAGCCTGAGAGGCATTGCCCAGGTCAGAGTAGTATTCTTTAACAGCTTCCCAAATTTCTTGAGCCGTATCAAGGAATAAATAAGTTTGACTGATATCCGGTTCCATAGAATTAGTCAGCCATGTCATGACCAAAGCATTTTCAGTCACCCAAGCATCATAGCCAGGTTCATGTTCTGCTGGTTGAACCTTTTTTCCATCCAGATACCCGATCTTCCCTTTGGCCTGGATAAACAACTTAACAGATTGACACCATTGCACATAGTTTCTACCGTTTAAACGGTGATTGGTGATCTGCATTGCTGGGTTGTCTCCAGAAGACGAAGAAATGGGAAGGGGTGAGGTTCCGGTCGAAACTCCAGATGAATTTTCAACATTTTCAGTGTCCATGACTTCCTAACAACAATACCCAAAAAACAAAATTCCTCCAAATATGATTTTGACCCTCAAAACAGGAAGAGGGAAGGCAGACGATCAGAACGGGGTATGACCCGCCGGAAAAAAATGATGGGAAGGCGGTGCGTGGACCACACGCGCCGGCGAAGCTGAAGGATGTTGGTGGCGCGTGGCTGGGTCTCCGGCGACGGGTCTTGTGTTGGCTGGCTCGGAATTTTGTTCTGGACCTAATGGTGGCCTTGGTTTTGTGGTTGGAGGTGTCTAGGTGAAGGTTCTGGCCTTGACAGAGGCAAAAAACGAAAAAAAAAAAAAGAATGGAAGTGAAGTTAGAACAAGGAAGAGACTGGATTTTAACCAGCTCTTGATACCATGATGAAAAGAAAGAGTGTTTTTCTGTATAACACTATTGATTGATTACATTGAGAGACCCAATAGGTCCTATTTATATTGAGTACAAAGAACAATGCTAATAAATAGCTTGAGAGACCCAATAGGTCCTATTTATATTGAGTACACTTAAAGGCTTTGGAGGTTAACTTGTCCTTACCAGGAGTGAGATCATGAACAAAACAGGTACAACCAAAGACATGTGGTGGGGATAGAGGATAGAGAGGAGCATCTGGAAGTAACAAGCTATATGGAATATCATCATTAAGCACAGATGAAGGCATAAGGTTGATGAGAAAACAAGACACAAGGATTGCATCAGCCCAGAAGTGAAGAGGAACATACATGTTAATAAGAAGAGTCCGTGCAGTTTGAATGAGATGTCTATTTTTACGTTCGGCTACTCCATTTTGTTGTGGAGTGTGAGGACAAATAGTTTGGTGTAAAATACCATGTGTGCATAAGAAATTAGAAAAATCAATGGAAACATATTCCTTAACATTATCACTACGTAAAATACTAATAGAAGCACCAAATTGAGTATGAATCTCGGCAGAAATTTTTTTATAAATAGAGAATAACTCATAACGATTCTTCATTAAATAAATCCAGGTACATTGTGAAAAATAATCAATTAAAGTAACAAAAAACCGAAACCCTAAAACAGACAAACTACGACTTGAACCCCAAATATCTGAATGAACAATTGAAAAAGTAGCATCAGCTCGTTTATTGACTCAATTGGCAAAAGCGGAGCATATGTGCTTCCCTTGCTGACATGACTGACAATCTAAAGTCTGAAGACCAGATAAAAGAGGAACCATCTTCTGCAATTTTGAAAGATTGGGATGACCGAGGCGACTTGGATGAGTTGTAGAGATTCTGTGAGAGAACAAGCAACTCAAGGATGAGGCACAACCAGGTAGAACAGACCCCGTGACTCACGGCCCACTCAAATCGTCTTCCCCGTACCCGGATCCTGCACAGAAACATAATGGTTTGAGAAGGTAACAGTTCAAGTAAGAGAGTTGATCAATTTACTAATAGAAATTAAATTATAAGGGATGTCATGAATGTAATAGACAGATGTTAAGGTCAAAGAAGAGGTTGGACAAACTTGTCCAATCCCAGGAACAGGGGCTTTAGTGCCATCAGCAAGAGTGAAAGAAGGTAAATGATCAGAATAAGTAAGAGATGTAAAGAGTTCCTTATTACCACAGAGGTGATCAGTAGCACCTAAGTCAAATATACAAGGACCAAGGGATCTAGAATGAGAAACACAAGCAACAGGATTACCAATTTCTGAAGCAGAAGGCTGAGACTGACGAGAAACCTTCCTGAGAAGGGTCTGGAGTGCTGCATAGTCTTCAGAAGAGAGAGAGATTGTACCAGTTGAAGCAGTATCTAGCTGAGCTATATTAGCAGCATAAGAAAGTCGCAAGAGAGGATACTTTGTGTAACAACGCTCCTCAAAATGACCAAGTTGCTGACAATAATGACAACGAGGTCGCTGACCACGTCCTCCCTAGCCACGACCACGACCACCTCCACTGTTCCCGCAAAAGTCAGTACGGGAAACAAGAACAGTGGAATCAACAACAAAAGATGATGCAGGAACAGATTTATTATTGAGGTTCAGAAGGCGCTAATATGTCATTGATAAATCAGGATCCCCACTAGTCAAGATAGTATCACAAACATTATCATATTCTTCGGGAAGACCAGAAAGTGTGGCAACCATAAAGAGACGTTCCACCTATTTCCTATACACAGAAGCATCAGTAGGGTAAGGCAACATATCCAAATATGCCTGCATCAAAGATCGACTTTTGCCAACATATGTCTCCATCTGAGTGTCAGATGATTTGCGCAAATCCATAAACTGAGACATGATGGAATAGAGTTGTTGAACATCATTAGTGTACATGTGTTTTGCTTTCTCCCACACTTTATTGCATGTTTGAAAAGAATAGAATATATCTAAAACGATTGGATCAATAGATTGCCAAAGGATATTTGGAAGCTGGTTGTCAATCCTTTCCCAATCAGATTTTTCTTCCATAGAAATATCAGTAGATATAACTATGAGATGTTGCCCATGTCTTTGTCCAAAGAACCAGACTCGAACAGAGGTGGCCCAATACTTGTAATTAACAGAACCCTTCAGTTTGGAGGAGGTAATGGGCCCAACATTGGTGGAGATGATACTGGAGAAACTTTTGGCAGGACGAGGAGGGGCATTGATCTCCGAGTGAACAGGAGAAGGGGTTGCCATTAAAATAAATCACAAAGGTACAAAACCAAGTGAATAGAAACTAACCTGATCGCCAATCAAGAAGAGCCACACACAAAAAGTGAAACCCACGAAAAACCAACCACAGATCTGGAAAGAGGAGGAGAGGCCGAGCTTGTCTGTCCTGGAACGGCCGAAAAAGGACGGCGGAACAGTGCACACGCGCTGGTGGAAGGAGAAGCGTAAGCACCACGCGCAGAGGAAACAAACCGCGCGTGAGGGCGCGTGGAGGCTGAGATGGTGGTGGGTCTTCCATAGAATAGGTCGCCGAAGAGAGGAGGAGCTGATCGCAGGTGTCCCGGCTAAAAACGTCGCCGAAAAAGTTCTCCGGTGACTGGAACAGTGACGAATGGCAGTTCCGGTGGCGGACGGAGGTGATGACAAGTACAAAAATCAATCTGAAAGGGCTTATAGCTTAGATGACTTGCCGAAAGGACACACGGCAAAGAAAAAGAGAACACCTAAGCAGTGGGCTTAGGTTTTAAAGCGAAAACGAGGTTTTAAGCGAAAGCGAGGGTCCCCAGGACAAAAGAGCTCTGGTACAAACTTGAATATAAAATAATATGTTGTGTATTAAACTGATACAAAGAGTTACAATATATAGAGACCCTAATGGGCTTAAGTGAGAAGCCCAGACCTAACCCAAATCCTAAATAGGAAAAGAATATTTACAAATGTTGAGATATATAAAAACCATTAATGTAGCCTCACCCAACAGCTTAAGCTTTTGGGTTGAATTGGTTCTTTACATGGTATCAGAGCCTCGATGTACCGGATTCGCTCCTCACCTCCCCCCACTTTCTTTCTAGTGGAATTTCTTTCTTCGCACAGGTAGGTGGGCCTGTGCATTATCCACCCTTCAAGCCCAGTGGGCTCTCGTGTGAGGGGGCGTGTTGAGATATATAAAAACCACTAATGTAGCCTCACCCAACAGCTTAAGTTTTTGGGTTGAATTGGTTCTTTACAACAAATAAGAAAGCAATCTATACATATTATATTTCCTATTCTAACAGTTACGATCCCTAATAATAAAAGGTGCTGAGTTAGTAGGTGGTTAGTTATGGGAATAATATTTCCTTTTTCTGTTATGGGTGTGTTTTGTGAGTGTGGTTTTGTGAGGTGAGGTTGAAGTTGCTTGTAAAGAACCAATTCGACCCAAAAGCTTAAGCTAGTGGGTAAGGCTACATTAATGATCTTTATATATCTCTAACATGCCCTTCACAAGAGAGCCCATTGGGTTTGAAAGGTGGATGATGCATCAGACCCCGCGTACCTATACTAAGAAATTCCACAAAGAAAATGGAGAGCGGCGAGAATCGAACCCGGGATACCGAGACTCTGATACCATGTAAAAAACCAATTCAACCCAAAAGCTTAAGCTAATGGGTGAGGCTACATTAATGCCTTTTATATATCTCTAACATTGTTATATAAAGGATAAGGAATTATTGTAAAGGCATATGGGATATCTTGGAATTTGGGCCGGAAATTGGGAGAAACCTGAACCTCTACAATGTTTAGGAATATTTTACTTACTGTCATTTTCCTTTTCCATTAATGTAATCTTTTCCTCTGTAATTTGCCACCTCTAGTGTAGCTTGTGTCATTTTCTTTTCCATTTATTTGTTGTATTTCCATAGGGGGCAGCCAAACTTCAATACAAATTCCCTTTTCAGTGTTAATCTCTTTTCCTTATTCTTGTGAGTTCCTATCAAAGCACTTCACCCTTGGTAGGATCTAGTGAATGTAAACATCTTTTAATGCATTACCTGAAAGCTAGCCAAGTGTTGCTGATGCTCTGCAAGGGTTGCCGCTAAAGACTCAGCATGGCCACTTGAACCACCTTCTTGTGCACTTTGCAGTATATCTGGACCCTCTCCGTCATTTGCTTTGGCCTACAGATCAAAGCATGGTTAGTAGTTCCTACATCAAAAGAATAAGAGTGAACAGTGTCAACATATAGGTCTTTGTTATTCAAAATTCAAAATAAAAAAATAAGAATGAATGTAGAGCAATGAGAAAATATAATAGAATTGCATCCACAAACCCAATTACCACGCATTTTTTTTTCTTTTTTCTTTTTTGAACAGGTTTACCCTTTGGGTCTGAGATTAACTCCTGCTTGAGGTAATGAGGCCATCTTGTAGAGGCCCCTCTAACGCCAAGCTCAAGCTTGCTTACCACTTGAGCCACCCATTGTAGTTTAATTACCAAGTATTTGGTGCAACACAAGTTGGATTATCTTAGTTTCAAGAGTTTGAATTATAAATAAGGATCAACCAGGTATTGCTAAGCAATAGAAGAAGAATGTCTCTTGAAATAAAATTTATTTTAAAATAAAAAAAATTAAAAAAATAAAATAGGACAACCAACATAAAAGATTAAGAAAAAAAATCTATCATGATTTTGGTCTTACATTTCTGTCGAGTCTTTAGTGCAGAAATGGATCACTTGAAAAAAAGTAAAATGCCAGCTGGTAAGATAAAGATGAAGTTATGCCCAAGGTTTGACAAAATTAAAGATAATTGAAAAAGAATATATAAAAAGCCTTTTAGCTAATGTAAAATTTGAAAGATGGAGGTACAGACACGTGTTAGAAACACAAGCAATAGTTCTAAGCAACTTATATACATCACACATTCACATCCCATGCAATTGTTATCTGATTTATAAACCAAAGCATACCATAGTATCAACACATTGAGATACTTACCAGGACTAATTAGAAAAATATAATAGTGCACAACTATTTGGAAACTGAAGTTACTTCTATATCCGTTCTATTTTTGCTTTTGGTACCATACATAGAAAGTTCAAATTTGCTAATGATCTCTGAGTTGAAATGCAGTTGAGGGCTCCTGCCTCAACCCCAATTACAAGTTAGAATTAAGTACTTAGCAATACACATAGCTAAACTGGTAAGATACTGTGTTTTACTTTCTTTTTCTTTTTTTTTTAAATAATACTGTGTTTTACTTTAAGCTGAACATATTTCAAAAACCCCCCTTCCCCAAAAAAAACACACACACAAACCAATTCCCCAGAAAAAGACAAGTAGGGCGAAGAAAGCAATGTTATCAATGCCAGCTGCTATGGCAGAATAGCAAGACGTGGGGCTCTAGTTTGGCAGTGCCGTGGCGTTGAAATCGGCACAGACCACCCCAAAATAATCTTAGATGCAGTGTTCAGGATTGGCTTCAACAAGCAAATGCCAATTCAAATTTGAGGCAAGCCTTATCGAGCTTGAAAACTGATGGCACCCAGAAAAATACACTACTGAATTCATTAACAATGGAGACTGTAGAATATTCTAGATTATCATTTATTACTTCCTTGCTATTTGTTCCCTTATTTATTAATGTCTCTTGTTATTGTAAATAAGCCTCTTAGTTTACTGTTGCTATTTATTAGCATTGTTCTTTGTACTCAATATAAATAGGACCTATTGGGTCTCTCAATGTAATCAATCAATAGTGTTATACAGAAAAACACTCTTTCTTTTCATCATGGTATCAAGAGCTGGTTAAAATCCAGTCTCTTCCCTGTTCTAACTTCTTTAAGTCTTCCTTCCATTCCTTTTTTTCGTTTTTTGCCTCTGTCAAGGCCAGAACCCTCACCTAGACACCTCCAACCACAAAACCAAGGCCACCATTAGGTCCAGAACAAAATTCCGAGCCAGCCAACAAAAGACCCGTCGCCAGAAACCCAGCCACGCGCCGCCACGCGCCACCAACATCCTTCAGCTTTGCCGGCGCGTGTGGTCCACGCGCCGCCCTCCCATCATCTTTTTCCAGCGGGTCATACCCCGTTCTGATCGTCTGCCTTCCCTCTTCCTGTTTTGAGGGTCAAAATCATATTTGGAGGAATTTTTTTTTCTGGGTATTGTTGTTAGGAAGCCATGGACACTGAAAATGTTGAAAATTCATCTGGAGTTTCGACCGGAACCTCACCCCTTCCTATTTCTTCGTCTTCTGGAGACAACCCAGCAATGCAGATCACCAATCACCGTTTAAACGGTAGAAACTATGTGCAATGGTGTCAATCTGTTAAATTGTTTATCCAGGCCAAAGGGAAGATGGGGTATCTGGATGGAAAAAAGGTTCAACCAGCAGAACATGAACCTGGCTATGATGCTTGGGTAACTGAAAATGCTTTGGTCATGACATGGCTGACTAATTCTATGGAATCGGATATCAGTCAAACTTATTTATTCCTTGATACGGCTCAAGAAATTTGGGAAGCTGTTAAAGAATACTACTCTGACCTGGGCAATGCCTCTCAGGCTTTTGAACTCAACACCAAGGTGAAAGATTTACGCCAAGGAGGGATGACTGTTACTGAATACCTCCTTGCTCTAAAAACATTGTGGCAAGAGTTGGATCTTTATGATATAGCAGACCTTCAAGGTTTAGACGCTAATGCAATATTCAAAAATTATATAGAGAAAAGGCGTCTCTATGATTTTCTTGCTGGCCTTAATTCTGATCTGGATGATGTTCGTGGAAGAATTTTGGGGCAAAACCCATTACCTTCCATTGCCACTGCCTTTTCTGAGGTACGAAGGGAGGAGCTTCGCCGAAAGGTAATGTTGGGTGATAAGGACTCTAAGTCCTCTGATGGGTCAGCCCTTATAACAAAGAATACTGCTCGTCCTTCTGGGGACTCAAAACGTTCTGACCGTTGGTTTTCTCACTGCAATAAGGGTGGTCACACCCGTGAAAAATGTTGGGAAATTCATGGCAAACCACCAAACTGGAAACCAAAAGGACAGAACAAGAATCGTGCTAATCAAGTATCTTCTGAAGATAAGGGGGAGGGGTCTCATGTCCCTTCAAACCCCGATGGTGTTCTCCTCTCTAAGGCCCAGTATGAGCAATTTCAGAAATTGATGTCTCAACCTGCTGAGGCAACTAGTCATGTTGCTCAAAAAGGTATGGCATTCCATGTTGAACGTAGTAATCGTTGGATCTTTGATTCAGGAGCCTCTGATCACATGACAGGTAATGCAACCTTATTTTCCTCCTATACCCCTTACTATCACCCGTCACGAATAAGAACAGCTGATGGAAATTTCTCCACTATTGCGGGCAAGGGATCCATTAAACTTTCTGAACATATTATTTTGAACTCAGTCCTTCATGTTCCCTCCCTTGCTTGTAACCTCATCTCTATTAGCAAATTTACTGCTGAGTTGCATTGTGTTGCTAAGTTTTCTGCAAATGCTTGTATCTTTCAGGAGCAGGACTCGGGGATGATGATTGGCAGTGCTAGAGAGGAAGAAGGGCTATACTATTTGGAGGAGGATCTTTGTGAAAGGAGGATTTTTTCAAACCACTCTCTATGTTTATCAGATGATTGTAATGATGTTTTGTTATGGCATCGTAGGTTAGGGCACTCAAATTTTGTTTATCCTCAGAAGTTATTCCCTAACTTATTTATCAATAAAAAGCCAAGTTCCTTTCTTTGTGATATTTGTCAGCTTGCAAAACATTCTCGTGTCACTTATTCTTCTAAGAAATATCATGAATCTTCTCCCTTTACATTGATTCATAGTGATATTTGGGGACCTGCTCGTGAAAAAAATGTCTCGGGTGCTCGTTGGTTTATTACTTTCATTGATGATCATTCTAGGGTATGTTGGGTATATCTCTTAAAAGACAAGTCTGATGCGGCATCCACTTTTAAAAATTTTCATGCTATGATTCAAACTCAATTCCAGACTCCTATCAAAATTCTGCGAACAGACAATGGCACTGGATATTTTAATTCTGTTCTTGGAGATTACCTAAACCAGCATGGAATTATTCATCAAAGTTCTTGTCCTAACACCCCTCAACAAAATGGGGTGGCTGAAAGGAAAAATAGACATCTAATTGAAGTTGCTCGAGCTCTCTTATTCACGATGCATGTCCCTAAATATCTGTGGGGGGAAGCCATCTTGACAGCTTCTTATCTCATTAATCGAATGCCTTCTCGGGTACTACATTTTCATTCTCCTTTATCTTGTCTTACTAAATCTTTTTCTTCTTTCTGTGCTCTTTCTTCTCTTCCTCCAAAAATATTTGGCTGTGTGGTCTTTGTACATATTCCTCCACATCAAAGGTCCAAACTGGACCCTAAATCTATTAGATGTGTCTTCATAGGATATTCCCCTAATCAAAAAGGCTATAAGTGTTACTCACCTTCTCTCCGTAAGGTCTTTGTATCCATGGATGTTACCTTTTATGAGACACAATCTTTTTTTTCCCCGACTTCTCTTCAGGGGGAGTCTACTGGTATGGATGAAGATAAGCCTGGGAAACCAAATGAAGCTGCTGTCTTACCTTGGCCTTTGGAAACAGGGGGAGCAACTATACCTGAGTCTAATGATCCTCCCGGTCCTTGTGATCCTCCTGGTAAATGGGGAAAATTCTACAGCAGGCGCAAAACACATCAAGAGACTCTAGACTGCCAGGATCTTGACTCGAGTCCTTGCTCTAGCAACCCACTTGAATGCACTAGCACAGCCAACATTGATATGCCCATCGCCCTTCGGAAAGGTACTAGATCTTGCACTGCTCATCCCATTTCCCATTATATCTCATATGAGAAGTTATCTCCAGGTTTTCGTGCTTTCAACACTATGTTAGATAGTACCAGGATACCCAAAAATATCCAAGAAGCACTTGATGACCCAAAATGGAGGAACGCCGTATTAGAAGAAATGGATGCACTTATAAAAAATGGAACATGGGAGTTTGTGACATTACCTAAAGGAAAGAAAACTGTTGGTTGCAAGTGGGTGTTCACAATAAAATTTAATGCAGATAACAGCATCAACAGGTATAAGGCCAGATTAGTTGCTAAGGGATTTACTCAGACTCATGGGATTGATTATTAGGAGACATTTGCTCCTGTTGCCAAGCTTAACACTATCCGCGTTCTGCTATCTCTTGCCGCCAACCTTGATTGGCCATTGCAACACTTAGATGTCAAGAATGTCTTCTTGAATGGTGATCTACATGAGGAAGTTTACATGGATCCACCTCCTGGTTTTGAAAAAGGGGATGGTTCTGTGTGCAAGTTGCAGAAGTCTCTCTATGGACTTAAACAATCTCCCAGAGAATGGTTTGGGAAATTTACTCAAGCTGTTAAGGGAAGAGGGTTCACCCAAGCTCAGACTGATCACACTTTATTCTTTAAACACTCTGACAAAGGTAGAATTGCTATCCTCATTGTTTATGTTGATGACATAATTGTCACTGGTAATGATACCGAGGAGATAGCCTCTTTAAAAAAATGTTTAGCTGATCAGTTTGAACTAAAAGATCTTGGATCTCTCAAATACTTCCTTGGCATGGAAGTTGCTCGAAGTAAGGAAGGAATTTCCTTAACTCAGAAAAAATACATTCTAGACCTGTTGCAAGAAACAGGTATGCTTGGGTGCAAGCCAGCAGAGACTCCAATTGAAGCTAATATCAAGATGGGAGTTGAGGACGGGGAAGATGTTGATAAGGAGCAGTACCAGAGACTAGTGGGGAAATTAATTTATTTGTCTCACACTCGTCCTGATATTGCTTTTGCTGTGAGCATGGTTAGCCAATTCATGCATTCTCCTAAGGAAAAACACCTTAGTGCTGTTTATAGAATTCTCAAGTACCTCAAAAACACCCCTGGTCGAGGAATTCTCTTTAAAAAGGGGAACAAAAGGATGATTGAAGTTTATACAGATGCAGACTGGGCTGGCTCTACAATGGACCGAAGATCTACTTCAGGATATTGTACGTATGTCTGGGGAAACCTTGTGACCTGAAGAAGTAAGAAACAAACTGTTGTTGCAAGAAGCAGTACAGAAGCGGAATTTCGGGCTTTAGCCCATGGTATTTGTGAAGGAATTTGGTTAAGAAGGCTTCTGGAAGAGTTGAAGATCTCTTATTCCCTACCTATCAGATTATATTGTGATAATAAAGCTGCTATCAGCATTGCTCAAAATCCTGTCCATCATGACAGAACAAAACATGTGGAAGTCGATCGTCACTTTATCAAAGAAAAATTAGAAAACGGTAGTGTATGCTTGTCATATATACCTACCAAGGAACAAACGGCAGATATTCTCACCAAAGGTTTACTTAAGCCGACCTTTGAGGATTTGATCAGCAAGTTGGGAATGATCAATATATATCTCCCAACTTGAGGGGGAGTGTAGAATATTCTAGATTATCATTTATTACTTCCTTGCTATTTGTTTCCTTATTTATTAATGTCTCTTGTTATTGTAAATAAGCCTCTTAGTTTACTGTTGCTATTTATTAGCATTGTTCTTTGTACTCAATATAAATAGGACCTATTGGGTCTCTCAATGTAATCAATCAATAGTGTTATACAGAAAAACACTCTTTCTTTTCATCAGAGACATAGCCTCTTTTTACATACACTAATACAATATAAAATGCAGAAAGTAAACCCCTAGAGACCTCAACTCCCAGAGATCCCCAAATTTCCCCACTAACCTATTCTGAATACATGCATGAAGAAACCCCACCCTAAACATCTCTATATATACTAATTCCTAATTAATGGGCTTGGTTACTTTATTGAAGGCCCATCAATACTCCCCCTCCAAAATTCACCTTATCCTCAAGGTGAGGGAAGAGGACAGGTAATGTGAGATACATTCCTCCTGGGTCCCATAGCTTGAAGCATATTGACCAAGTTATGATTGAAGTAAAAAAAACTACCACTGCTGAATTCTATTACCCACTTCCTCGATGTCTTACTCCATGTCTTACAAGCAATGGCCTGTAGATCATTAGCGTTCTCTGCATGTCCTATTCCAAGCAATCTCCACCCCTTTAAAAATTCACCAGCCCCTTGCATTTGACGTATTACCTCTATGATTCTGTGCACGCTCAACTGCATGACCCTGTCATCCCCTCGATCGAGGTGCGAAAGATCTTCTTTCCCCAAATCTGCGAATTCGCTTCTCGCCCGCAATAACATCACCGAAAGTTGTTGATTACCGTATACGTGGCTCACGGAGAAGAATGCATCGGACCTAGAACCAAGGTTCCTCCTCCCTTGTTCCATCACGTTCGGTGTAAGTCGTCAGCATCTTGTTCCCCACCTCTCGCCTCTGTACATCGCTTCTGTGGCGTCTCCATATGAGGACTGGGTCACTGTGTTGGTGTTCTGCGTGTTGCTGCCATGCACGTTTCCAATCGTTCTGCACCGCCGTCGATCCTCCATTTTCTCCGCCCTCGGCCATCGGAAACTCGCGCTCTGGTTACTGTAGTTGTCGTTTTCCATTAACCTTCCTTGTGCAGCCCTTTGCCCCTTGCCCATGGCAACTGAACCCTGCCCTAGAGTAAGACGGGTCTCATTGGGCCCTTTTTGTGGCCCAACACTCCTATTTCCTCCAGTAATAGAATTGGGCCCATGTTGTAGAGCACTGGGCCCATTTCGTTTGCTTGGCCAATTGCTTCCTTTAGTAACCATTGTGGTCTGCTCCTTTAGTTCATCAGGATTTCCAAAATTAGGCCTTGCACCATTATCAGATGGGGCCCCATTGTATGGTTCAGCCCCATACCCAAATTCCCTAACCTTTTCCTTCTCTCTGATTTCATCGTGTTCGTAGCTTTCTTCAATTTTTTCTGTATCTTCTTTTTTCTTTTTTTCTTCTTCCGTTTGTTTGAGCCTCTGTGCTTGGGTTGTTGTAGCAAACGGTCTTCCTATATGTTTGCTTCCAACCTCGTCTGCCTTCTCCTCCCAAGTATGCCGTCGGAATCCTACTCCCTGCCGCTCGCTGTCGTACGTCTCTTCTATCGCACCACTGCGCGAAGACTGGGCTGCAGTCCGACGATCGTTGTCTATTTCGTTTCGCTCTTCTCCTTCCTTTATTTGCTCCATTTCTAATTTGATTGTTGATTTCTTTTGAATTTCTTCTGTTTTTCTGTTTGGATTTGAGTTGCAATCTTCCTTCTCTGTTTGCTGTTCTTCTTCGTGTAGTTCTTTCTTTTTCTCTTCTGCAAAACAAGGATCGATGTGATCTATTAACGTCCAAATTGTTTTCTGAAGTTGATGAAAAGTGTCTTCAACTCGACCCATTCCTTCTTCCAAACGATCCAAGCTCTTCTCCATTCTGTTCACTTTGTTTTCCATTTTTTTCTTTTTTTTTTCTTTTTTCAAATCTGGATCAGAAACACCCCCTGATCGGAAGTGCTTTGGTACCAAATTGATGGCACCCAGAAAAATACACTACTGAATTCATTAACAATGGAGGCATAGTCTCTTTTTACATACACTAATACAATATAAAATGCAGAAAGTAAACCCCTAGAGACCTCAACTCTCAGAGATCCCCAAATTTCCCCACTAACCAATTCTGAATACATGCATGAAGAAACCCCACCCTAAACATCTCTATATATATTAATTCCTAATAATGGGCTTGGTTACTTTATTGAAGGCCCATCAAAAACCAAGCTCAAGGCTCAATGCAGCTTAATCTGAATTATAATTGAAAGTATATTTAATTTTTACCTAGAGGGATAAGGCTCGGTTGTTGTATATTTTTATAATTACTATGACTTCAGAATACTAATTACATCACTACAGTTTTTTCAATAAAAATTATAATTTTGCTAAATATGAAATAAAATATTAATATATATATATATATAATTAATCAAGCTGACTTGCAAGATTTGGAGCCAAAAATCAGGGTGTTTAAACTTGGCTTGATTATATAATTGAGCTTCTTATCAAACTCAAAAGTCAATATAATAAAGATTCAAATTTTGCTGAGTGAAACTTTCATCAAGCCAAATCTACTCAGCGAATCGAATCACTCACTTTAAATTCCACCAATCCAAGTTCATTTCCATAATATCTTCTTAAATGCCAACAGACCACTGGTTTTTTTTTTTTGTTTCAGCTGAAATGTGTTTGAGTTTTGTGATAAATTTTTCAAGATATATGATATTAAAATATCTCATTAACCTTTTAAGAGTACATTTAATAAATTGTTAAGAAAATGCTGTGCCTTAAGTAAGGCAGCTGCCACACTATCCAACATGTTGCCTAGGAAGTTTTGGTGCTTGCTGTCAGTGGCAGTCATACACTACACCATCGACAACACTGAAAGAAAGGATCCATGAGAACAGAACATGATACCATCTTCAAAGTACAGCTTATAAAGACCATACCAAATGAAGTGATTGTTTATGGATACGTTGCAAAGCATGTGTCCATCGCCGTATAACCTCTGCTACATCAACAGTTTGGTAGACTCTTCCGTTTCTATCATCCAATTTTGCAAATGTCTCATTGATAAGATGTGATCCATCATTGTCCTCTATGTTATCCATGTGCATGGCAGGAAAGTTACCAGGTTGAACAGATAATACATCTGAATATGGAGCCTGAGAACTCTGGTCCATTGCTGCAAGCAAAGATGATCCAGAGATTCGATACCTGAAATTTGTGTATCTCAAAGTGAGTTGGTACAACATTGTCTACAAATATTGGAAAGGTAAGGCAAGCTTCATCAATATATTACCTATGTTCCCGGTGAGCTATCAAGTCCTCAATTGGGCCCAATGCAAGAACTTCATGTTGACCTGTACGTTAATATTAATATAAAAAGCAATTTCATCAAGTGTCTTATTGAGGAATAAAAAATAAAAGATAAAGTGTGGAGCCTTCATAATAGAATGGATGCCAGCATCAATGGTTTATCACAAATACTCATTATTTTGTGCAAAAACATAGTGAACATGTATAAGAAATTTAAAGGAAAAAAGAGAATATGATAATTTGAATACTATATCTATATTAGACTACAAAAAGGGGGGCAAATATATCATTAATCATCATATTACTAAAGACCGAATTTGTAAAAACTAAACAGAATCTCATATTCCCATCCCTCAAAACTTATAATTAATCATCTTGCCCCACCTAACATAGTAACATAATAAGAAATGAAGAAACTAGAATTAAATCAACTATTAGACAAATGCATAATAATAACGAAGCATTGATCTTTGCACTTACTTTTACGAGCTAATAAAGACTCCCATAGGCAGGTCGCTTTTGAAACTAAATGGGAATTCGGACTTGAGCTGGTAACAAGGTCATTCCAGAGTTCTCCTTCCAACTTCACTTCATTCCTCAAGTCATGTAGTTTTTCCAGCTCTTGTTGCAAATAAGCCTGAATGCAGGTTATAATTACTCGAGAGAAAAATCTGTAGAGAATATTGATCGAGGGGAGAGAGGATAAGGTGCACTGCATAATAGCCAAATTTGGCAAATAGCCTTCAGTTATTGATATGCCTCCTCGGCACATAAGCCACGAAATTCAGCAGTCATTTCACGAGCCAATTTCAACCACATATCCTGCTGTTGTTCAGCCATTTGGGCATTTTTAAGAAACTTCCTTCTTTCAAGGGCTATTTTACCCTGTTTAAGAAAAAGAATCAATCTATTTACTTAACAACAAGGGATGTTACGATTGAAAAAACTGTTACATAAAATATAAATTTGTCTAGATAGCAGAGATCAGATCATAGAAGTTCAAAGTTGAAATTCATTTCATTATACAGCAAGCATGCTGATAGAACCTGAGTCGAGAAAACTCAAGTAGGAACAAGGAAAATGAGTAGTATTATGTTAAGCTTACTGATATCAAGGTGAAATCAGAAGCATGTATGTAAAATTACAGGATAAAGCAGAAGAAAATGCTATCAAGCTTTCGAGAGGCCTGTCTCTCCCCTCACAAACTTCCCATCTTAATTCTTGATTAACCCCCTACCACTCTCTATTAGGTATTATCCCTCTTCCCCCATCCTAGTGTTCATACTTTTCCTTCCAAAGGAGGAGTCATACTCCCCTTGCCTTGAGTCGGAAGGAGTGTGCCTTGAGTCACACTCCTAAAGTACACTCTACTAATGCGGATTTTGGCTTCGAAATACCAACACAATTATTTTGGTACCAATGCCACATGCATATATTGATAATCAATTCACCCCTTCCGAAACCTTTTATAGATTATCGATAATACCTTTGTAACTTGAAGTAGAGTAGTAGCATGTGAGAATGCTACATCAGTCAACGGTGTAGGCAATGGGTTAGAAGCTGTGTCAGCAGTAAACGTCCGTCTATGAACCTCTCGCAGAGCATGCATAGAAAGCTGCCATAACAGTTCCACAAACCTACACCATGTACATCCAAATAGTGAGCTTCCATACGCACCTCACACCACGTGAGACTACCTCGTGGCATTGTAATAAACATTAGATTTTACAAATTACCAGTTACTCAATAACAAGTAAGTCTGATACACTCACTAGATTCCAACTGTCCATCAATTCCCCTGACTTCCCAATTTCTATTCACTAACTATAAAAACCCTTACATATTAAGAGACTGTTTTCGAGATTTAAACTCGTAACCTTTCGGTCACAAAGAAACAACTTGACCACTACTCTAGGTTCGCCCTCTTCTTCTCAGTTCTCACCAAAACCGTACAATTTATATCAACAACACATTTATCTCAAACAATATACAATTTATATAACAAACTAAAAAGCTAAACAAGTAAAAAATTTAATGTTCGTATCAATATCATATCTATCTACTCATTGGGATCAAGACAACTAAAATCCACAATCAACTGAAACTATTACAACTAATTTAATAGAACTGCAGCAGATTTTGCAACCATTCCCAGCATTCAAAATCCTAAAATTTTCTAAACGAGAAAAATCAGGAGCAAAGAAAGAAATGTGGAGTACCAACCTAGGCCCACAACACGTGGCAAGCGAAGAAACCCTTGAATTGCTGTTGGGAAGCGCACCCTGGGACTCGAGCTCGTTAATAATCCCTTGCACAACCTAGCCAAGAAAACATTCAACTCCACCAATATTCAAAAAATCACAAAAGCACAGGATTCCATAAACCAACAGAAATTAGTATAATACCTTGCGAAAATCACGCGATTGTGCCGAATCAAAAATTGGCCAAACCCTATCAAAATCCTGAAACATCAACAACAACAACAACAACAACAAAAAAGTCACCCAAGCGTAGCAGATCATGCTCAAAACATCACCATTACATTCATCCCAAACTAGTTGGTGTTTCACTCGATTAACCCATAACATATTAAGGAAAATAAGTATATATATATATATATATATATATATATATATATATATATATATATATATATTACTTTGGCAGATTGAATTGGGCCTCTGAGGGAGGAGAGGATGAAGTGGAGCAGCTGTTCCCCCAATTTCGGGTTCGAATGGCGGAAGAGTCCGACCCGAGGAACGGCATTGGATCCTCTCGGTCCGATGATAACCGGATCCAGACCTAACAATAAGCAATTTGTGTACATTGCACTCTCCAGCTCCCTCTCCTTCTCTCTCTCCATTGTCATCTCTCTCTCTATCTCTCTCAGGTAGTTGTTGTTGCTACAACTACCAACAAAGTTTTCTTCTTATTCTTCTTCCTTCTCTCTATGATACTGCTCTATTGTTGTTGTCTATTTTTTTATTTTTATTTTACTTCTGGTTTTTCAGTTGCAGAGATGCATCTTGGTTCATGAATGAATGTCCTTTTTGAAATGTGAGAGGTCCCTGTGGTTTACTGATATTGCGAAATGAACCCTTAATTTGAAAAAGGAGGGGCCGGTTTGTGATTTTGAAAACGCCTTGCTGCTTTGTCGTATTATGTGGGTTTATTTGTGATTGGACGTTGAAGGGGCCAGCCCCGATGGGCCCCCGCCCGGCCTGTTTTCATGTTCAGGCAACTCGAGTAACTCTAAAGAAGCGTTTGGTACAGGAGAAAAAAATTTTGACCAGGGAAATATTTTTTACAGAATATGGTTGAAATTTTTTTTCCGGGTAAATTCAAAAAAATTTGTTTGGTTGGCTCAAATTTTTTCACGAAAAATTGGATGAATTTTACTGAAATTATGTTGGGATGATTGTAAAATATTGATAGGAAAGTAAGGCAAAATTACGAAACTACCCAACATTTTCAATATTGAATTTCCTTGTTATGAAAACGTTAATATGTCTGTATTCTCTATCTTTCTCTCAATGTTCGTTTTTTTTTGTGTGCACATTTGGCTTGACCTCTCTTCCTGTATTAGGTATCAAGGGTGGAGGAGATCTCATCAACACCGCCAAGCTCACATAGTGCTAGGCCTCTACATCCGTCGTCCACATCTTATGTTACTCCTGCACCTAGGGGTGTAAATGGGTCAGGCTGGCCCAGCCCAGGCCCGGCCTTTCAGAAAAGTAGAGTAGGCTTAGGCTTATAAAAAAGCTTTTTTAATAAATAGGCCATAGGCCAATTTTGTCAAGGCTGGCCTATTTAATTTATTAAAATAAAATAATATTTATTTTATGTGGCAAAGACACAAAGTACCAAATACCAATATCTCTTACTTTTTGTGCTATTTTATTTTATGAAACGAAAACTTGTCTAATGTCTCCAAATTTTACATGTTGTTGCAGCTTAATACCATGGAGCAATGGGTACCTTGCTAGATTATGATGTTACTGATGAAGATCTTTCAATAATACTTCTCTTTCCCTTGTCTTGATGGTGGTTTAAAGATTTTTATATGAATGACATTCTCTTGAAGACTTTATTTCAGCATCCAGTAATTGTATTTTTCTTATTTTTCCCATTTCTTTGACTTTATTCCTCTATGATATACATTCTAGAGCTGAGGTATTATGTTGACTCTTTCTTGTTTGTCATTTTTTTTCTTATGAGAAGTACTAGTGCATGCATGAATGGAAATTTCTTTGCTCTATACAATCATTTTTTTTGCTTAGTATATATAGTGGGAGGCCTACAAGGCCTGTAGACCATGTAAGGCTTTCTTATTTTTGAAAATAGGTCGGGCTTGGCCTACAAATAAAGCCTTTAATAGGCCAGTAGGCCAGATGGGCTGAATATTTTTTGACGTAGGCTTGGGCCAGGATAGCCAAAGCCCAGCCCAGCCCATTTACATGCACCGCTAAGTAGTCGACACAAACGCACTCCGGAGCTAAATGTTGTCAGATTTAGCAAGTGTACTAGTCAAACAAGTAATAAAATGATGAGTAAAGATCGTTCCCACGAGGATTTGTGTTCAAGCACTGACTAACCATATATACTTAAGTTGAATCAACCAAAAGATCATTAATTGCATTGATTTCTTGTCACCAGAAATTAAACTGAATTGAATTAAAACTTGATAAACAAATAAAATGTGAATAATACTTTAAACAAGTAGTCAATCATCAATTTCCCTCAAGCATGAATTTATGGATGAACCAATTTGCATAATGAATTACCTATTATGTGATGTTGATCAACCTTTTTCTTATCATCTCAAGATGTAATGTCTTACTACCCTGACAGATACATTAATCAGAAACCCCAATGTCTAGGTGATTCATTTCTTAATACATGCATTAATCACTAAGGTCTTAAGACCACATCAGAATCCTAGCATCAATGTCTTGACTACTAGAACACTAATGATGAAGTTGTCAAAAATAGAGAAATAATGTAAACATGTATGTTCTACACTATTTATCAACATGAAGAATTAATCAAGACAACTTCATACAATCACATAATAGATAAACAAAACATCTAATTAACCATTCATAAATTCAAACTTGAGTTCCATTGAATCAGACTACAAAGGACTCTACTTAGACATAATGAAAATATAAACAAGAGAAGAAAAAAGATCAAACTCCATTGTCATGATAGTTGAGTCTTCAATCTTCAAGTGCAATTACATAGGAAAGTACTAACTATTACATAAACTAATCCTAAGGAATTTGGAAATTCAGAGAGAATGAGGAGTCAGATCAAATCTATGAAAGATCTTATCTGATCTCCCCTCTCCTAGTGTGATGGGAAAGGTCAGATTAGAATCTGAGAGAGAGAATATGTCCAAATGTGAAGGCCCTTGCCTTATATAGAGTTACAAAATACAACTGAATAACAACCAGAGACTGACATGGGCGCTAAAACGCTCATTCTTGGACGTTTTAGCGCTCAACTTGGACGGATGAGCAACCACTTTTAACTGTCTTGGGCGCTAAAACATTCGATTTGGGCGTTTTAGCGCTCAGCACCAGAACCTTTTCGCACAGCAGGGCGCTAAAATGTTCAATTTGGGCGTTTTAGCGCTCAGCACCAGCATCTTTTTGAACAGCAGGGCGCTAAAACTCTTGACTTTGGGCGTTTTAGCGCCCAACACTTAGAATTTTCCCATTCTTCAGAATTTTCTTCCTTCTCTCTTTTGCTTCATTGAGCTTCATTTCCCTAGAAGAACAATGCAAATTTTCAATAAAGCTTCCAGAACTTGTATTTAGGACTTTCTAGGACATTAACCCTCTTTTCTATCAATTTAATCACACAAATTAAACTAATTCATACTTTAAAACCTTATAAACCAAGGGTTTATCACTGAACGATTGTTGTTTTTGCAGGAAACATTGCGAGTTGTGTTGGAAGCTGACAGTTCTCCTTGCATCTCTGTACTTGATAAGTAGGTATTTTCCGTGTTTAGGTTTAGGGTTCCAAAGTATCAATTTGTCACCATGGTGACTGTCCACAAATAACCCCTTTTAGTAATTTAACGATTAGTCATTTTCATTTTAAACGCACTACTTGAAATTGAAAGCTTTTGTGAAAAAAAATTTATTAATGTTTATTTTCAACGTCAGTATGTGGTTTGTGTGGTGATAATAAAAAACGTATGTTGTAACTTATACTGTTGTGGCTCTCTGTCTCACCCACATAGCTCTTATCAAAGGTAGAATGGGGGGAGATAGGTGTCAATCTCTATTTTCTGGGCAATCTTCATGTTTGTCATAATCGAATCTGAAGATGTGCAAGTGTGGAGTGGTGGTTGTGCTACGCAAGAGTTGGACCACAAGGAACCCAAGGAAGAAGTTCTTCGGTTGTCCTAATTTCAACACTAGTAGGAACTGTAATTTTTTTTGAGTGGGTTGATGAACCCACATGCCGTAACTGCATATAAAAGGACAATTTGATGAAACTTTCTAGGCAAAAAAATTATTTTAATTATTTTAATAAAAAATTACGCATTTATTACAGTTTTTGAAAAAATTACGGATTTGCTGCATAATGTCAAGCCTAAAATGGGCGTCACATGTGACGCCCAATTTGGGCGTGACACATGCGGCCCTTATGCCCCTTTGGGCGTGAATGAGTCCAAAAACTCTATATAATCCCCAACCACTCTATGCACTCTTCATATCTCTTCTCTACCATCAATTCTTACAGTTTACATACACAATTGTTATCTTTAATTTAGTATTTTTATTGTAGTTCTTATTCCATTTAAAAATGTCTTCACATTCTGATTATGTTCGTGTTGTGTTATATTACAATGGTAGGAATGTAGAAGATCGACAAGGTGTCATGTTTGAAGGTGTAAAAAGGCCGACACGTATCAAACACAACGCAACCATTGACGAACTGCATCAGAGAATTTGTGAGAAGTTAAGTCTTCAAGGTAACCAATGTATAACTCAGATCACCACAAGGTTATGGCAATCTGAACAATACATTAGTTTGCAAGTGGTTGACGATGAAGACGTGGAAATGATAATGGAAGAATTTTTTAACTAGTCAAGGAATGATTTTCTGGAGTTGTATCTGGACATTGCCGGATCGGAGGATGTTCCATTACCAGTGAGGTCAGTTGCTTTAAATTCTCCCTGTCTTCCATCAACGTCTGCCGCTCATGCTTCTCCAATTGCTAACATTTCTGAGGAAGATGAAAATGATCTGACTTGGGAAATGCATGACGAAGACGACGACGATGATGATGAAAATATCACAATGGAAGAACGTCTTCTGGCAGAGGATGCTAGTGCTTCAGAAGGAGATGAAGGTGGTGATATGGGCGCGTCTCAGATCCCAGTATACCATGAACCAGTGGTCGCTCAAATCCTGCAACTGCATGACGTTGCATCCGCACAATTACGAAATCATCATACAGGTAATTTATAGAATTTTTATATACCTGATTTAGGATGTTTGTATTAACATGTTTTAATTACCATATGCAGGGGATGATGTTGTTATCCCTTTTTGGGAAGGAATTCTGCATTACTCGTATATTGATTAGAGTTATCGGAGCGAACAAGAATCGTGCACTAATGGTACGATTTTAGGATCGGGATCAATACAAGGTTCGTGACAACTGGGTGACAAGTTATTTGTGAACCAAGAATTTGCAACAAAAAAAGAGGTGCAAATGGCACTGAAGCATAACCTCATTAGGGAGCATCAAGAAGCAATTGTAATTGAGAGCGCGTCTGCAAAGTTAAGCATGAAATGTTGCGCGTATGATAAAGGTTGCCCGTGGCGCATTAAAGCGATAAAACC